TTGTACTGGGTCTGGCTGAACTGGAATTGGTTTTCCCCTATAGCAGCCCTCACGGTGCTGTGGTTTATGCTGGGAGCTGGCAGGGTGTTGATAGCACCCTGCTGTTGTGGCTACTGCTGACCAGTGCCTACACAGCACCAAGGCTCTTTCTGACATTTCCCCCAGTGGGACGGGGTGGGCAAGATCTTGGGAGGCGACACAGCCAGGACAGCTGACCCGAACCGACCAAAGGGATATTCCATACCATATGACGTCTGCTCAGTATAAAGCTGGGAGAAAGGAGGAAGGGGGTGGCATCACCCTTGGTCCTCCAAGGCAACCACTACGCGTATTGGAGCCCTGCTCCTGAGAAGGTCCGACATCGCCTGTCCATGGGAAGTAGAGAATAAATCTGTTTGCTTTTGCTTCCGTGCGTGGACCTTTGCTTCGCTTTGCTTATATTAAAGCTGCTTTTGTTTCACCCACAAGGGTGAGTTTATCTTCTTTCCCCTCTTTGCCCTGTTGAGAAAACAAGGGGAAAAAGGGGGATGAGGAAGTGATAGAGCGGCTTGATGGATACCTGGCATTTAGCCAAAGTCAAACCATGACACCAGTAGAGAAATGACTATTCCTAATAGCCAAGATCCTAGTCTGTGCAGGTGGGGAGCAGGACATGTCCTCTTTAAATTGCTGGAGTTCTTCAGATAGTTTCTCCACGGCCGTGATGAGAGAGGAAGAGAGACTTTCTTCCTACAGACGTAGCCGGTGAGCCAGGTCATCCAGTGTTTGTCTCTTTTCATCTCCCCAGCCCATTACTGATAATGCACTGGCATATGATGAGGGTGTGCTCCGTACAAACTTCTGCCACATGGGCCGGGTGCATTGGACTTCATCTGGATCTGTGGGTAGCTGCGCATTATCTGGGTCATAGTAAACCCTTTCCTACACTGCTAGTTCCCCCAGCTATTGAATACCTCTCTCCATAGTGGTCCACTTACTTGGATGCCATACAAAATCCTTCTTGAAGGGATACCCCTCCCTCACACTTGACAGGAGTCACCTCCAGAGACTGAGTTTTTGTGTCTTCTTTCCAATGACTTTGTCGATGCTGCCTTCCCTAGAAAGGGATCCCAGCTGCCTGGCCTCCCTACCCTCTAATTGCACACTGCTGGCGCTGCTATCCCAGCATCTGAGCAGCCAGGTAAACAGTTGCTCACCTGGATGGTGGCTGAAATCTTTTCACATGTCTCGCAGCTCACTTGGGGATAAGCATCCAGTGACTATCACTGGCTCTGCCTCCTCCTCCTGTTCTCCTGATGGGCCTGGTTCATCATCACCCTGTGCCCTGCGAGGAGATTTTCTTCTGTATTTCTTCTTATGTCTGGCCGCAACTGAGACCATCACGGCTTGGTTCTCTGGTTCAGCTGCAGCGCCTGTCCACCGGCTTGTAGTGGCTGCAGTTTCTGTTACTTTTTTACCAGATCCAGAGCCCTTCTCTTCCTCTTGAGGGTGCTGGACAGTGTTTAATAGCACCCGGTAGGCGTGGGCCAGGCCCCAGCACATTGCAGTGAGCTGTGTCTCTCTGGAAATACCCGGGTGCCAACATAATTTTTCCAAATATATTACTACTTCCTCAGGGTTCTGCACCTGTTCACGAGTGAAGTTCCAATACACCGGAGGTCCCCACTGTTCTAGGAACTTGCCCATGCTACTCCACACCCTCAGCCACTCATCATTCTCCACCCTTGGGGCAGGTTTCCAGGTGATTCTCTTAAATAGTTGCTTAATCTTGAGCAAAATCTGAACCACATGCAGGAACACACTAGCTGCCATCAGTAAGATGACCATGTTAATGTCAACATTCCAAAGATATCTGAAATTCTTGAATGTCTCAAACATAATGTAGATAGCCCTGGGACCGATAGATACCTGTAGATAGCCCTGGGACTGCACCCTCTCATAGATCAGCATTACATAGTACAGCAAAACCAACATCTTAACTCAGCTCTCACAGACGACAGCCAACAGCATGGGAAATGCATATTGCAAATCAAGTGATAAAATCTTAAGGAGCCAAATAATCAACATTATTACCCATTCTGTCATTATCTCAGACCTCAGGC